TATTTTTAGTTGTCCAATTAATTTCTTTCTATTTTTAGTAGGGACGGGTCTCCCTCTTACTCAGGCTGGTTTCGAACTCCTGAGCTCAAACAATCCGCCCGCCGTGGCCTCCCAGAGAGCTAGGATTACAGGCGTGAGCCACCGCACCCGGCCCTGAGCCACCGCGCCCGGCCCCACACCCTTTTGAGATTGATAAGTTGAGATGTTACATCACCGTCTGGAGTCACCGAATCAAGGTCTGTTTTCCATACTTCTTGTCTATAATGGTTGAGTGAATCCCCACTTCTTGGCCTCCAGTTGTATGACCCTGTTCTCCTTGTTTGGGAAGACATTAGGGAATTTATGCAGATGGTCTTCATCCTTTGTATCCTGTGGCTGGCTTTGGCCAAAGGGGTGACCTCCACCCCATGCTCACAGCCTTGGGATGGAGACCAAGGAGATCGTTGAAAGTCGGAACCTTGCCCTGGCTTGGTAAAGAACTTTGGCATGAAAATCACTCTTCGCACAAAAGGATATTTTGAAAAATTTTGGAAAAATCACAAATGAAAATGGGAAACAAGTGAGTTTCAGCACTTTTCCGAGAGATGTGAAAGAAAGGGGTAGAGGGTTGAGTCTTGAGACATCCTACTCACCCCATGAGTGAGAAAGAAGGATAGAGCTGGCCAGGTAGCACAGCAGGTTACAATGAGGAGCAGGCAGGGTCCCAGAGGTTCTTCCAGAAGTGGGCTAGTGGGAGAGTCAGAGTAAACAACTCTCTCGTTCCTGGCATTGGCAGACATCCTTGATTGGTGGTGCAGCTCTGGAAGGAAGGGGACAGGGCAGAGCAGGGTGTGTTGAGGGGCCTCAACCCAACAGTGGTGACTTTTTGGCAGCCTCTCCAAGGCCATTCATTGATTACCAATCATTGCTTTCCAACGAGGGAAAGTAGGAGGGAGTCACTTTTCTGTCATTCAGCCCCTGGTGCTGGCTTCTGGATAACCTTTCATATGTTGCGGGTACTTAATTCAAGGAGCACCTGCATTTTGACAAATAAATTTACAACCTTAATTTTCTACACCAATGCCAGGTTTACACTGATTAAAATATAACAGAGTTATTTATATACAACATCTCCTTTATAATTAGTAGATCAAATTTGCAAGCCTGCTTATGTTGTCCCAGTGCTAGGTTTTTGAAAGATTCAGACAGAATATAAGATATAGTTCCTATCCTGAAGGAATGTACAGTTTGTCTGAGGAGAAAATTAGCATTAAATAAACAATTAGGCAAGAAGTAAGTAATGGACTACCGTACTGATGAGAAGTGTAATTTGAATTCAGGCAGTAGACCTCGATACAGGTTAGAATAAAAGATCACCACAAGAAGATAACACTAAAGATAAGCCTTCAGGATGAAGAAGTTTTAAAAGAGGGTAAAAGAAGAATGGCTTTCCTGGTAAAAGGAATTGCAGGAGCAAAGGCACAGTGGCAGAAAATCAATATTATGTGCTCAGAGACATCCAGGAGAGATGTGGGTGGCATGAATAAGAGCAGCTAACTAGTAAATAAGGCTGAATAGCTAAGCTGGAGCCCTGTTTCTGTTGCCTCAAAAGTCAGTCAGTTTAATTTATTTTTTGAGACAGGATCTTGCTCTGTCATCCAGGCTGGAGTGCAGTGGCCTGATCATACCTCACTGTAGCCTTGAACCCCTGGGCTCAAGCGATCCTCCTGCCTCAGCCTCCTGAGTAGCTGGGACTACAGGTGCATGCCACCATGCATGGCTAATTTTTAAATTTTCTGTGGAGATAAGGTCTTGCTGTATTGCCCAGGTTGGTCTCAAATTCCTAGGCTCAAGCAATCCTCCTGCCTTGCCGTCCCAAATTGCTGGGATTGTAGGCATGAGCCACTGCACCTGGCTTATCTGTTTTATTTGATTACAGCTATCCTAGTGTGTGTGAAGTCATATTTCACTGTGGTTTTGATTTGCACTTCCCTCATGGCTAATGATATTGAGTGTCTTTTCTTATGATTATTGATCGTTCATGTATTTTTTTTGAGAACTGTATATTCAAATCCATTGCCCACTTTAAAATTGGTTTATTTTAATTGTAATGATTGGTTTATTTTAATAGTAATAATTCTTTACATATTCAAGATACAAGTTCTTTATCAAATATATTATTTGTAAAATTTTTTTTCCCATTCTGTGGTTTGTCTGCCACCAGAATTCTTGTCTAAAAGGATATGAACACTTGAAAAAGATCTGGCCATTTCATATAAAACTAAAAATAGACCTATCCTATCCTACTGTATAAGCAAGCAATTCTACTTGTAGGTATTTACCCAAGAGAAAAGAAAACATATGTCTATAAAAGATTTATACAAGAATGTTTGTAGCAGCTTCTCTCCCTCCCTCTACCCCCACCCCCTGCCAAGTCCTAACTACTAGACTACCAGGGATATAGACTCTTTATTCATAATAGCCCCAAACTGGAAACAGCCCAGGTATTCAACAAGAAGGGGATGGATCAGCATGCTGGGGTTATTCATACAACGAAATACTACTCAGCAATAAATGGAGTAAACTACTGATAGACACAACCACATGGACATTTCTCTAAGTGAAAGACACTATACACAAAAAGTACATAGTGTATGGTTCCATTTTACTTGAAGTTCTAGAAAATGTAAAACTAATATATGGAAGAAAAAAGTCAGAATAGTAGTTGCTTCTGAGGGCTGTTAGGCAAAGAATGACTGGAAAATGGTGAGAGTAAACTTTCTGGGATGATGGCAGTGGTTTATATCTTAGAGGAGTTTTGGTTACACAGGTCTGTACATTTGTCAGACTCAGTGAATCTACGCTTAAGATTTATGCATTTCATTGTATGTAAATTTCATCTAAAAATATTTAAACAAATATTTAACTCTGGATAATAATAGGCATGTGAAATACTTGGGAAGTACACCGATGCCTGCAATTAGAAGTTCATTTAGAAAATAAGATAATCATAGGATAAAGATAGATGATAAAGCAAGATAAAATGTTAATATAGGCAGAATCTGGGTGGTGAGTATATAGATGTTCACTTTGAAATGCTTATCACTTTTCTACATGTTAGAAAATCTTGAAAATAGAATGTTAAAGAAAAAATTTTTTTTAAAGGGCTCCAAGGTTTCTAGAGCTGGAGGCCAGAAAACTGATGGCATCATTAGCAGAAATAGAGAATTTAGAAACAGGTAGCTGGTTTGGTGGAAGGTGGTGGTATAACTGACAGGTCTTGAATGCCTGGGAGGGCCTAAGTAATTTATGCATGTATTTCCATCCATATTTCAATTGATTTTTATAAGTACCTCTAGTCTTTGGTCATCAGCACACCCATTTTCAGATGAGAAAACTGAGGCTCTGAAAAGTAACATATTTTTCCAAGGTCACTAAACTATTAGTGTGTTGGGGCAGGACTGATTACATAATTTTTGGGCCTACTGTAAAATGAAAATATAGGGTCCCTTGTTCAAAAATTATTAACAGCAGAGCATTAAACCAAGAACAGGGCCTTTCTAAGCATGGGGCTTTGTGAGACACAGGTGGCACACATGTGAAGCAAGGGTGACAAGGAAAATTTGAATCTTGGGTTGTCTAGCAGGAAAGCTCATGCTTTTTCCACCTAGGTCAGATGGCCCATTCATTTTTGTGCACAATGAATGAGACATGATGATGATATCACATGGTGATGTCAAATGATGTCCGGTAGCTGGTCAATAACTGAATTGCAGGTCAAGAGTTCCTTCTGCGACATCTATTGTTTGTCCTCTGCTCAGTGGACATTTGGGTATATTTGATCTAGGTTAGGAACATAATTTTTGATTAAAGGCCGACAGTGTATTTCCTTAAATATCCAGGAGCTAAGAATAAGTCTTTTAACTTACCCCTCTCAGAATTCTTCACTAAATTTCTTTTTTCTGATAAATGTGTCAATACTTCAGTGGTGATGAAATGCTTGCTGCTAGATATTTGGTGGATCTGGAAGTAAAGGAACATTCAACTTTGCAGTGGATCCTCGTGGTTGAGTTAAATCTTGGTTTCATTTAAGAGTAAGCTACTTTCTGAATGTAATCATGCTTTTACTGATAACAGTAACTTTTAGTAGTTGGTAAAGACATATTATCCCTTAATCAGATGATTCTTGTCGGTCATTGAGGAAGAATGGAGGATCTATAGCTTTTCCCAAGAAAACTAAAAATATCCCAATCCCAATATGAAATGAGTTCTGCTATACTGGGTTGGGAATAAAATATATCCTGTTATCAAGCGTATTTCATCTGTTTGATTCTCAAAGAAAAGAATACTAAGTTTACATTTTTAATTAAAAAAATCATTAAAATTCCAGAGAAGTCTTTCACATCAATCCCTGCTACTCAAATTAGCAGGTCAAGCCTAGACGTCAGGTTGGGCTTTTTCCAAGGTACCCTCTAGAGGGCAATCTCTCTTCCTGCTAAACAGCCCAGGTCTCCTCTCCTCCCTCCTCCCGCCCCGCCTCAGCTCTCTATCCGCCTTCGCCCGGGCCCCGCCCCGGGGCCCGGCTCCCGGCTCCCGGCTCATCTCCCCTCCCCCACCCTCAATCCACTTCCTCAAGCTGCGTTCTAGCCCCGCCCCTAGGCGTCGCACGGCGGAAAAGGCCGCTGGGAGCCGCTCTGGCCCGCTGGAGGACTTGTCATCGGTGCCTGGCGGCGTACGGCGGCGGTGGACGGGTCTGACGTGAGAGGGGAGTGATCCAGGAGTATCGCCTCGGCTGCTCCAGGACTTGTCATCTGTGCCCGGCGGTGGTGGGCAGGTCTGACGTGAGACAGGGAGCCATCCCGGTGCGACGGTTCTGCTGCTTTGGCCCCGGAGTGTTTTGGCCGGTGGCGCGGCGGGAGGTGTGGAGGCTCATGGCGAGGTGAGTGAGCGAGCGGCCGAGGGCAGGCTCGTCAGCTGCACTCGCCCAAGTGGGAAAGGGGTCGGGAGTGGGTACTGCTTGGCCTCAAAGTTTTGAGTGGCCCTTGGAGGCGCAGCTCTCAAACCAGAGTCTAGGTCCGCCCCACGCCCCCGGCCAAGCTCTTTGTTTTTCCTTTTCTATTTGTAGCATCTACTTTGCAGCGAGAACTTCTTTTTCTGCCACTGATTCTTCTTATTCAGCCTTGACCCGCACAACTTTCTTTCCTTTTGACCCTTATTTCTTTCCTTTAAAGTTGGGTACGTACAGTTTGAGGACACATAGGGATTCAATTTACAGCAATTGTGTGGCATGTTTTGTGCAGCCGACAAACACACGTGCTTTGCTAATGGTTGCAGCTGTGCACTCAGCCTTATGGAACGGCTCCAGAGTTAACGCAGGCGACTGCAACTTTCAGGCAAGTGCTTCGGACATTTAACATGGGTTGGTGGAGCGTGTTTGAAAATGTTCTGTTTAACTTTTGAAAAGTGCTACTCCCTGCAGCTTGAGCTCAATCGAGGAAATCTGGTAGCAATCTTAGGAAGTTAGGCTGCATCAGTCTTGAAGGCTACTGCCTGTGTCTATGCAATACCAGGTCGCAGCTGTGCCCACTTGAAGGGGGAACTGTCTTTATTTCCTTGACAACTTAGATTTCTGGGTTCTTCACACCTTAGAGTTTGCCGTAGGGGTTTCCTGCAAAGGGATGGGAGAATTTACTTAAGAAGAGCAGCTACTGCTTCATGGGAAAGTCTCTAGTTGTCTAACATTGTCCCCACAGATCTGATTCTCCGTAAATATTTGTTGTACATTGAAGAGTTGCTTTTCTTGTTTTTTTCATACCTTAAAATTAGTTGTCTCTGCACCAGCTCATGGTGACATTTGGTAAATACTAAGAAAATCGGTACATGTAATTATTGCTTGCTACTTTTTTGATGATGTCAGCAAATACCCAATTATTTGAGAAACAAATAGGAAAGACATGTTTGTTAACAAGGTTAACTGACTTAGGAAAGAACCTGTCATTCACACGGTTCAGCATGGCTTTATTCCACCCCACATTTCAAGGTGAAGACTGTGTGGGTGAGGCCAGACCAGTTTGGGGGCTTTGATCAGAGATACCTTTTCCAGGTCCAGCCCTGGAGTGGTTATTACCCAAGAAAGCAGAGACCTAAGAGCAAGATCATCTAGCCTACAACAGCCTAACCCACAAATGTATAAGGGATCGGGGTGCCACAGAGTATGTTTCTGAGACGAAAAAAGGCTTCAGGCCGTGGTTGACACTGAGAGCAATCTCATTCACCAGCCTGGATTTCACAGGTTGGGTCCCAGTGTGCGTCATAAATACAACAGTACTTACTGTTCTAGCTGCTGGGAAGCACTGCTGTAAGCATTTCTATTACCCTGTGGCCATCCTGGACTACTTGGGGTTCTTACTGTTCCTTATGTATGGCCTTTGGAATCTGAAAGGAGAGCAGACATGAAATAAATACTTAGACTAAAGCAATGTTTAGTTATCAACTTTGATAAGTTTCTTAAAAGTACAGTTATGAGAGCCAGATTTAGATAGGGTTATGAAGCCTCTTTAAAGAGGTTGCTCTCTAAGATGTTAGTGGTACCTGTTTCCTTTTCTATCTGCTTTCTACTCTGCTGAACTACATTGTTTAAGTTCTTGTTGTTTGGCTGCTTCTATCTCTTTTACTTCTACTTGTTTCTCATTGATCAAAGGCTTAATCTTTGATACTCTGTTATGTTTTTTCTGTGCTAGGAGTCACAAACCCAAATGCAGAGGCCAGGAAGGAAGCTTTGAGTGATGCTGGCTTGATGGCAGCTGTGAGGACTAGTGGGGCACTGGCGAGCTGGAGAGCGTGCTCTGCCTAAAGGAGGTTGCTTCTTAGCCCAGGGTTTTCGTAACTACCATTTTTTTGCTGGAAAAACTGGAAAACTGCTTTTTAGATGCAATCTCTTGATTTGTTAAATGTTTGTAGTTCTAAAACACTGCTGACCAGAAAACACATTTGTGGATCCCGGCAGCAACCTTCTGGCTGTTAGTTTTCAATTGCAGCTTTCTCATTTATTTCTTATAGCGAACTGAGAGATTGTTATGCCTCAGTGATTGTATTATATATGCATGGGACTTCCTGACATGTCTTTAGTCCTAACTTTTCTTTCAAGCTCCAGTCTCTTCGTATTTGTTGTTGAATGTTTCTGCTTATGTCAGTATAAACTACAAAATCAAATCATATTTCATCCTACAAACCAGCTAGCTTCCTTTCCAGTCTTTTCAAAAGTTAAATTCTCCTAGCTTTCCTGGCTTGAAATTTTGAAGTCATTTTTGACATAATTCTTTCCTTTTCCATTGAGTTTTAAATTTCATAATAACTCTCAATAAATCATTCCCTTCTGTTTCTGTGGCTGCTGTTCTTCATCAGTTCATGCCTGAATTAGTTGGCCTCCTGGACTTGATTCTCTGCTCTATTCACATCTTACCTTGCCTACTTCTAGTGTGATAATCTTCATTAAGCACTACTTTTGTTATATCATCTTTCTGCTTAAACCGTTTCATGTAGAGTTTCTTCAGTTTTTAATTTTGTGCATCCATGTTTTATTGGATAATTGCAGAAAGTTCCTAAATGATAAAGTTCTCATCCTTCTAAGACAATTGTTTTTAAACTTTAGCATGTATCTATCATAATATGTTGCTCCATAAATTAATATAACTATATTAGAGACATAAACGGTGCCAGGAGTTTTGCAGAGCTTTGCCCTGAAGGAATATGTGAATGTGTTAGTTTGCATATTGAAAGCTGTTTCACCTCAGGAGGGCATCTCAAAGATCAGTAGCGGCTGTTTCCCAGGTTGGCGCCAGCACCTGTAGTTCTGACTTGCTTTGAAAGGCAAAGCAGGTCTGCTAGGAGCCACAGGGTGAGAGCTGATCAAAGAATGCCTGCCCGACAGACAGACACCTGTGGCTAAAAGCAATTAGCCCAAGAGACAGTTCCTGCTTAAACTCCTGACTACCTGTCTCAATACACAATAACTTGATAAAGAAAATATGGAGCCACTATATCTCTGCTTAACCCTTCTGTTAAATGATAAATTTACCTTAGAACTTAAAAGTTAGTCTTTGAAAGATTTTGTAACCATTTGTTCATGTAGATAGAGTTAGTTAAGGGATCTGAAGAAGCCTTTTGAAAAACTTTTAACCTAAGAAGAACTACCTGTTATCATGTAAATCTGTTACCCCTGGCAACCAATCGCTGTACCTGTAAATACCCATGTAAAACTTCATTCGTGGCCTTTGCGATTGACGGAGATATCCAAGGTCCCCTGAGTATCCAGCTTTGCCTATTATCTTTATAAATCTGTAAAACTATACCCTTGTCTCTGTGTATTCTTTTATTTCCATTATTTTCCATTTTCTATTATTTTCTTATCCTTTGCGACGACCCCTACCTATGGGACCCGATTTTTTGCTGGGAGTGTAGCTAACTCCCAGCAATGATCACCTAGAAGGCTTGTAAACACAGATTTCTGGGCCCAGCCCCTATAGTTTATTGTTCAGTAGGTCTTTAGTGGGGCAGAGAATTTGTATTTTTAACAAGTTGCCAGGGAGTGCTGATGGTGAGGTCCAGGGACCACACCTTGAGAACATCTGTTCCCAGAAGCTAAATTGACGTCAGATGAAGGAAATATGCCTGTTAAAGTGAATTAAGAAATTAGTGAGATGTGCATACCCTCTTTCTCTCCACCAGGTGGCAATAGAAAGGAAAGAGAAGACCATAAATTGAGAATTACTTGGAGACTCCAAATTCTTAAGTACATTTTGAGCTATAAAAGTTAACATGAAATTTTAAATGACAGTTGAATGTGATTTGGAAAAAATTGAAGCAATATGATTATATAGCATTTGGCAAGGAATCTAATTGTACTTATATGTATATTTGTGGTATTAGTCC